CAAAAAGTGGTTAACAGGTATAATTTAGTACCAAAAAATCCCCTAAAAATACAAAATATTAAATAAAAAAATGATTGAAGTAAAATGTAGTTAAAGTAGTTCAAATAGTTCAAATAAATAAAGCTAATAAAGCGAGCAGCACTAGAGGGTTAATAGTTTTAAAGTGGTGATGAACTGAGAAATCAAATTTTCTTTGAGCTTTTGACATCTAAGAGGTCATCATCATATTATAAGAATATCCTGTAAGTTTCAGAACTGAAAACGTCCTTGTTAGTCCAATAAAAGCTTTTATTGACACCAGGCTCAGCAAACGACTCGTTTTTAAAAGTGGGGAACTATGACTTCAAAGAGGATAAAACACCACCCCCACGGAAGAAGATCAACGCCTACTTCAACACGGCCGGTTTAGCCCCGCCCGCCGATTCGCGCATTACACGCATAGCTAAATAACTTAAGTCTACCATTTACAACATTGGACGTTTTCAAAACAATTTCCCCCACGTGCACCGACCGGAACCGACGAGTGAGTTAAAACTCATTATAATATGCAAAACTGTTATCCACTCGCAGCAGTGGGCGTTTACTTCCAAGTCTTCAGTGCGAGACGCCCATAAAAACCAAGCGTTTTTCAGCTAGGCTCAAAACTAGGGTAGAAAATAGCCTATTAGTTATTCATTTTAATGTTTTTGAATGCAAAAACCAAGCGAACATCATAAGTTGACTTCAGACAACAATATAATAAAATTTAAAAAGCCAGTTCATGACCCCTTTAATAGTTTACAATAACAACACTGGGCTAAATGCTATATACTATTATGATCCTACTGCTATTCATTTTCACATAACGTTTGTGTTTAGGTTCCCCCAGTGCAGATGGCCGTCGAGGCAGCGCCGACAGGGATAGTCTCAGAAGCTGTGCTTACTGCTGCCGGCCGACCAGCAGGATCTGAACTCTGAGCCCAGAGGAACACACACATGCACGTCTACGGCCCCAGTCTGACCCGGAACACTGAGCTTTCCTGGTAACATGCACTAGTGCTGCTGGTGGGACATGACATGAGGAGAGCGTGATTGTTCCAGACATTCACACTTGGGTGTTTCATTGACGGATATATGTAATTCTATTTTAACCATTATTTAATTTTATCTAATATTTCTGTACCCCAACCAAAGACAAAAATGTGTTTGAGTTGTATATTTTATGTAAGGTTTAATTATTTTATTTGATTTTTTTTAAAGAAAACATTCAGGTCTGTACCCTGTAGCAATTTGGACTTTCTTGGAAAGCCTCTAGTTATACAATGTCTTAATAATTATTAATGTCTTAATAAGCCCCACTTGCTCAGGCGATAAATTCACTAGGAAACAAGATTTAAGTCACTGAAGTCAAGATAAAGTCATCATTAGTACGTTTTCATATGGAAGCTTGTTTCCACCAGAGAAAAAAATATACATAATGGTAATTGTGACGTTTTATCTCACAATTCAGACTGTCAATTCGGACATTTTTCATATCACAATAGTCGCAATTGAGAAACAAAGGTTAGAATTGTGCACTCTAAAAAATGCTGTGTTGTTTTAACCCAACTTTGGGTCAAATTTAGACAAACCCAGCCATTGGGTTAATTTTTTTAATTACATTTTTAACCCAACGTTTGGGTTTGTCCATATTTGACCCAAAGTTGGGTTAAAACATTTTTAGGGTGCGAGTTATAAAATCCAACTCTGAGAAAAAAAAGTCAACTCACAATTCTCAAAATTTTATAACTTTATAACTCTCAATTATCTTTTTTTTTTTTTTTTTATTCAGTGGTGGAAACAAGCTTCTAAACTTTCACGGCATAATCTATCGTGGTTTTGTTTTATGAAGTCTGTTGGGTAGATGTCCATGTTGTTGAATTTGTGATCTGGTTCAGACTTTAATGCAAATTGGTGGTAAAAAAACTGCATATTTGACAGTGGTTAATCGGGATGGGGTTAAGAGATTTGATCCACAGTAAAGCTTTTTTTTTTACACCCAGATTAAATGCAGTATCAAACCTGGATAATCTACGTTTTCAATTAAGATTTCATTTCCAGTTTTCGACTTTAGGGGGCAAAAGTATTCTGTAGCTCCATTTCAAAACCTAGTGAGGATGCGTTAGATAAACACTCCTGGTCCAAACTTATGCTGCCTTTTAAGACACCTTATTTTGGACAAGAATCTTTGCGGAGAAGGCAATCTCATAATGCAGTGCAACAAGTTCAGTAAAATTATTTGATTAAATACCAAAAAGTATCAATAAAAATACCCATCTAACAGGCCAATAGGACATTCTGGCTAGATAACTTAAAGTTGTGATGAATTCTTCCAGTAACGTTGATAGAATATTTATTTGAAGTTAACTGGTCTTCAATAACATTATCAAAACATCAGCACAAAATTGTTATTTCATACGTCATTCATGGAACATGTTTAGTCTGTTTACTAAAAGTTACTATTTACAAATTTTTTCAGATGGTTCAGAGAACATTCAAAAATATTCCCATAATGTTCCCTGAACATTTTGAGAACATTCAAAATAAAGTTTTCATAACTTAATAGGAATATTAGCAAACCGTTCTTATATTTTGGTAGAGGGAAATCACTATTTAACCCAATATTTGGAAAAGCAATCTAGATTCAAGGCCTGTTCACACCACGGCCGATAACTAGCGATGAAGATATAGTTCTAAAAATCTTTTTAAATATAATAGCGATAATATGCTGTTATCGCTATGACGATAACGGCACATGGAGACAATATCGTTTGAATCACTTTCAAAATGATTTTGTCCAGCTGATGAATGATAAAAATCATAGGGCTGTCAAATGATTAATCGCATCCAAAATAAAAGTTTGTGTTTGCATAATATATGTGGGTGCACTGTGTATAATTATTTTGTATATATATATATATATATATATATATATATATATAAACACATGCATGTATATTTAAGAAAAAAAATATTTATATATAAAATATTTAAATTTAATATAAATTATATATAAATCTATATACAGTATATACATGAAAATATTTCTTAAATATATACAAGCATGTGTGTGTATTTATTTATATAAAATAATTATACAATATTTATATTTAATATAAATTATATATAAATCTATATACAGTATATACATGAAAATATTTCTTAAATATATACATGCATGTGTGTGTATTTATATATATAAAATAATTATACACAGTGATATACATAAATGATGTAAACACAAACTTTTATTTTGGATGCAATTAATCACGAATCCCTAAAAAATAGCCAATCAGAATCCATCCTGCTTCAAAAATCTGCAGCTGATATAGTTATCTTTAGGACTTAATGCTATTTTAAAAGTTAGCTTAGCAACATGCTGGCGTCAAACTTCATTTAATCGTGAGTTGGTATTTTGTATGCGCTTCACATGAGAGACTCTGTTGCTTTGAATCAGTATGAGATTATATTTAAATTAGGATGCTGCCTTGGAAGGTTTTGGAACAGCTGTTGATTACTCTTTGTCGTGACACTGATTACGTTTGCAACCAAAATGATTTATCTGTCTATGGTTATCAGTTTTTCCAGTGCATGTTGTGTGAGCTGATCTTTTGTTCGGGTCGCTGGCCATAATCTGCACTGTTCTCGTGTGCAGAAGACGTCTAATGTTTGCATGACCTCGTAAAAATATGTTTACAAGAGCAATGATCAAAATATTATACATATTCATATCTTTTCCACTATGCTAATTGCAAAATGAGACCGACTATTTGCGGTCATGTCATTTTGAAATCGGAGGGAACAAGATATTGTCACTTGACTAGATCTGTTTTTTTCTTTGTAATGTTTGTCATGTTTAAAAACAAAAATTTTGATTTAACGTTATATTAAGAACTCAATACTTTCAAACTGGATTGAACAATGCAAGAACATTCACACCATGTTCATCAGTATACAGCATAATGCCAATTTGAGCATGAAGCCAACAATAGTAAAAAATAATAATAGAAAAATCAATCCCACTTTACGTGTCTTTAACTGCTGTGTATTAACATTTAAAAGAATGATTTTATACAATGCACTTATTGTGCACATACATGTTTTTACATTGTATTTTTTTTAAATGCCTGCATGTAATTACAGCTATAATTAATTTCTATAGATTTCTATCTATAATTAAACCTACCCATACCACCCAACCATACGCGTATCCCACCTCAATAGAGGGTTTTGCAATGCAATATGAACACCATAAGTACATTGTACTTTTTTTTTTTTGATGTAGGTACATGGTAATTAAAGACATCAAATGTGTAAAGTGGGACCAAACAAGGTATTTATTTAGCTAATCCCTGATATTACATATTATTTTCCTCTTAAACCTGCGAACAGAACTGCTAAAAACCCAAGTGCTATAAGTGATTTAATAAGTATAAAAATGCATCAGTCTAATGAGCAGTTCAGCAATCAGTTATAGTAATTATGGTAATTATGCAAACTGCCTCAGAAGGGCTGATTAAATATCATTTAGAAGTCGTCTATGAATTACTTTGGCTTTGAAAAGCACTAAAGAAAGCTACACCCTGAGTTTTTAGTGGATAATTCCTCCCTCCCTTGATCAATTATGACCTTTTTCTCCCATTATGTTTTCACATGAAAGTTCAGGAAGTGTAGAGTAGACACAAATACAGTATGTGTATTATACAGGAAGAAGATGTATACATATATTGTATATCTTTTTTGTAAAAGCTACAAATGTATGGATGCAATGCATCATGTGTTATCGATGGAGTTACGAAGAGCCAATGATTTGTACCCTCAACGATATACAGGTAGTAGCACGTTATGAATAAACACTCCTTGTCTATGCATTGTGTGTGTTCGGTAAAATCTTTGTGTACAATGCAAATAAAGTTCACATCAAAGTGCTATGCAAAGGCGGACTGTGGTTGGTACTTTCAGAAAATACACGCACACTGTAATATGCGTCAAAAATCTATTTATTTAAAGACTAAGAAAATGTACAAAACATATTTACAAAAAACTATGTTGTGTTGTTAGCCAAAACATAGGTTCAACATCACAAGCTATATGATGTCAGCATCATATGAGAGGAAAAGCAAACCCTCATGTTTTGTACTGGTCGTTTTAACACAGAGAGGATTATCTTTTTCCTGAAAATACCAGTTAAATCTAGGGTAGGCAGTGTTTTTCATGAACACTTGTTGTTGTACTGGTTGAAACTATGGAAGTAAAATAGTGCCAAATGTTTTTGAAATGAAAATTGAATTACTTGGAAAAAAATATGCACTGCATTAACCACGAGAAAGCTGATAACATGTAGGCACAGAGGGAAAGTAACAAGAAAAGTTATTCAAATAAACATAAACATAGCTTTTTGTGTCTTTATCATCTATTCCGCACATATACTGACCCGGATAATCATAACAAAAACTTAATGCATGCTCAATTGCTGTAAAATGAGTTTTTATGAATGAATGGCTTGCTCTAACTGTTGCTGTCAACAACACGCGCTTGCACCTCCTGCTGGTGAGGAGGACTAACAGAAAATGGAGATTATGCTCAAGTAATAGGCCTATGTCACAAAAAAATTGAAGACCGGAAGTATGTCTTTTAGTAGGGATACGGCTCTTCCAGTTAGCTTTTTACAATGGTGGAGTCCGATCGATATAATACCGCTGGACCAAATCTCTCTGCAACCTGCCTGAAGTCACATATGACGATGTGTTTGGATGGTAAATGAAAACTCTCAAGTGGGAAAGCGTGAAAGCTGAGGTATGGCTGTCTACGTCCTGATGCAGAGCAACCCGGTACACTACAACAACAGCCGCGGGTAGCTCTAGCCGTTCGCCAGTAAGGTAATCATTTCTATGGTAACAGCGAGTTGGACCAATCAGCAGACGTTGCTACTACGCTTAGGATTGTGAGTAGTGTATTTTTTTCATAGGATCGTGGATAAAACATGTTTTTCTTTAAATAAGGTTGATTTCATACTTATAGCTTCAACAGGAGCAAAAACCTTCGTGTCCTTCGTGTACCTCGGATGGTAGACATTATAGGGCTGATAATCTAAATCATTATCGATGAAATACTGTTGACCGGAAGTTCTGTATCCCTACTCCGCGTTCCGGAAGCAGGAAGCGTGACATAGGCCTATCTACTGCTTTTTCTGCAGTTCCTAGATGTCAATGTTGACTTTACTGTGGAATTTGAACCACTAAAATGGTGGAAGCGAATTTGCAAAGTGAAATAAGATGAACTGAAAATTGCCTGTTCAATTTTATAGGTTGTATTTTTAAACAGTATTTTTGGAAGTGAAATATGAAAGGTGAATATGGATTATTGAATTTTTAATCATGAAAATGTGTTTTAAATGTTTTAAATGACAGCTATTAATAATAGAAGCGGTCTAATAATTGGAAGTCTCAGAACCAAAAAATGTCCATCCAATCATTGCATTCGGTCCAAATCCAAATTCGGTGAAAATTTCCTGCTGAATTTTATAGGTTGTATTTTTATACAGTATTTTTGAAAGTGAAATATGAAAGGTGAATATGGATTATTGAATTTTTAATCATGAAACTGTGTTTTAAATGTTTTGCATTGAAACATTCACAGCTTAAATTTCAACCATGCTGAATTTCAGCCCATAAAAATGCAAGTCCTAAAAATACAAGCATGGTTAATGCAACGCATAATTTTTTTCAAGTAGTGCAATTCAACAGGCTTTTTTGTTTCAGAAACTTTTGGCATCATTTTACTTCCATATGAAACTCTCTTCGCATCCTGACAGCTATCAATAACAGAAGCGGTCTTAATATTGGAAGTCTCAGGACCAAAAAATGTTCATCCAATCATTGCATTCGGTCCAAATGCAATGATACGATGTCCTACCTGACTATCAGAGTATGTATTTGCATATCTCCACACAACCTGCTCCATGCAGACTTGTGGACAGACCGCAAACAGCAGCCATCTTTTACAGTTCCTCCTGAACCAAAACAACGAGTTTATGCTGCGTTCACGCCATGCCATAACCGTAATTACAAAATGGCAACCCGTGACGTTACATAGTCCTTATTGCGTCCTTAGATTCGGATTTATGCGTTTATTATAGGAAGGTTGGAATCTTATGCTTTCAAAGCTAGCGTCTCTGATATTTCCTACCCTAGATTTAATGTTATAGCATTGGACTAAAACTTACGGACTTTATTCACACAGTGTATAACATATTATATAACAATTTTTTTATATATATTTTTCGTACTTTTTCCCCAGCTTGTTCCCAGCCAAAAATGACTGGCTGAAAAAAAATTGCTTATAAATCTTTTGTTATGCTGTTATTGCCAAATATTGGATTCGATCTTTTTATCAATTGTTTTCACTTTCACTTTGCAAGGGTTTCTTTTTGGAACTGCTCAGATGAGGCCTACAATCAATCATTTTCAAAAAGAAATACAATACCTGTGCAAATTGAAAGAAAACAAGTAGACAAAAAGATTCAATACAATATTTGTTGAAAATATTACATTATGAGAGGTAAGCCATTTTAGAGGCCGGTCATTTTTGATCTGTAAATTAAATAAAAGACGTTCAAAACAGTAAAAAAGTCACTTGTACAAAAGGTATAAAGAAATTTGCATTATACCATAAGAAAATAGTTTTTTCTTTTTCTTTTTTTCCAATTGAATCAAATTTTGTGTAACCTTTTCTTGTTTCATCAAATAGTAAGTCAAGAAAAAGAGATAATTCGTAATACTAGAAATGGAAAATCAAGTCTAACGCATTGTATTATGGGATACAGTGTCCTATGCTCTGGTTGTATACTGCACATTTTGTTAAACTTAGTAGGAGATCCATGTGGAAAAAGTGGACGTGACTGCTGTCTGTTCACATACACATTGCATAGTGTTGGTAGGATTACATGATGCAAGGTTTGTTAGAAACTCCATTAAAAAGCATAAAAGTGTATCATCTATAAATATGGCAGACCAATAATTTCTTCACACAAACACTAGATACAGTTCCAGTTGGAATTATTCTTTTCTTGTGTGTGCAAACGACAGAAATCAGCAATTAATGTGCAATACATGAAATCCTATAGACCATTATAAGTAGTACCTAACATTTTGTAACACTGACAAATCATTAGCCATCAACAACAAAATCAACATTTTCAACTGTCTTGTCCTCAATATTGTTCTTTCACATTCTTTGATTTCATTCAAGCTTTCTAAACAGTGAAGAATTGTCAAATCATCACCTGGAGGTGCATCAACTCTCGTGTAGATCTATGATGTTGACGGTGATGTGTGATTACAGCTCTTTCTCCTCAGCACTTGCGATCGCTGTCCTCTTCAGACTCTCCTTGACCCTAATGAACTCAGGTGCGCCCTTTGACCTTTCCCTCTGCTCACCGGCCTCTCTCTCAAGCTTAAAAGAATGAAATCATCTCTATATGAGGTGTTGGTATACAGTAATAGCCAAAAGTGACGTCCTGCCTTGGAAAATCTACGTACTTTATAAGGGACAATTTGCCCCAAAATGACAATTCTGTCATTAATTACTCATCCTCATGTCGTTCTAATCCCGTAAGACTTTATTTCATCTCCAGAACGCAAATGAAGATCTTTTTGATGAAATCTGAGAGCTTTCTGTCCCTCCATTGACATGTTGAATTTTCATGTTTTGGGTGAACTAACCCTTTAGAATGTGTTAAAGAAGCATATTGCGTAAAAAAAACACATTTTATTTTTTTGGGTGATAACACAATGAAACATGCCAAATTGTGTGGACATAATTTTTGGCCAGGCTGTCTCACAAAAACAATTATGAACACAAAAGAGAGAACCAACGAAATATTAATAACAACTCGGTGTATACTTTTTGCTGTGAGGTTTTTTGTTTCTTTATGCATTTGCATAGTAAAATAAAACATGTAGCTGTAGTTTGCCTATTTTGTTAGATAAATACCTTAACCAAGTTTAGTGTTTTGCTCTTACATAATATTTAAAAAATATATATTTTCCTCATATTTTGTTGGTTTAATTGAACATGTCATTAAACACAAATATTCTCTTCAGACACTTTGGACACTTCTGTCTACAGGAGCAAGTTAAATGGTTATATACATTATGATCTATAATACAACTTTTGCACCAAAGATCAGTCGCTGTGATTTTGCTTTGATCAACATTCCTGTCCAAAAACATCTTAACCCTTTCCCTACCCTTAATATATCCCTAAAATCAGAGAAAAATGATGGGTGAATAGGAATGGTGTGGAAGCCCCTTACCATTGTCGGAAGCCTAAACTTGATATTAACTTTAAAAAAAAAAACTATCCTTCAAATCTGATTTGATCCGGTTGATTGAAAATGTTCTACTTGGTGAAATCACGTTAAGCCCAAAGATCAATATTTTCTGGACAAAATCAAGGCACTTTCTGTGTCATTTGAATAGCTTTTTAGCATTATATAATACTGTATATGAATACTCATATCAGTTTAGTTTGATGGGTGTTATTTCAGGGTTTACCTTCTCTAACCTCATCTGCCTCTTCAGTAATTCCTGCTCCAGGGGTGATTTTTCTTCTTCCTGTTTTCTCTCTTGTTTCAGAGCTTGAGCTCTATTCCTTTGTTCAAGAACTCTCTGTAACTCTGGCTTCTCCTCCATCACTGCTCCTCTGATAGATAGGATAAGTGTTACTAAATCTCATATATTACGGTTTTGTTACTTAGTGTTTATATATATATATATATATATATATATATATATATATATATATATTTCTTTATAATAATAGTTTATTCATTGTTATTGGCTGGAAAAGGGAATGATCAGGATGTTCAGGCTGAAGATCAAGTTCATCCTTAAAGTCACCATGAAGTCAAATTAGACAATTCTCGTTTTTAATGGAATATGGTGGTATTTATTTTAAGTGGTTTATCCATGCACATAACTTCTTTTTTTAATTCATGTGCCCTGTAAAACTTTCATCTAAATAACTTTCCTTCCCTCTTGCAGTGACATCTCTTCTTTTCACTGACTGACTTGATCAGATCAGATAATCTGTCACTCACATGACATCACAGCAAAATCAAGTCCCGTCCAACATTTTTTCTCGTTCAAGAAGCAGTTTAACTCAGATATACGTCACAATAGGGAACAAAAGACCATCTCAATTTATAAAGGTTCAAATACAATAGCCTAATAATAATAATACTGCTTTTGCGCCATGTCGTAATTGCCTTGATTATATGACGACAACCCATGGTGTTAAACTCGGAGTCATTCAAGTCCTTAGACCAGGAATTATGTGTTTCTATGGCAACACTATCAAGGGTAAAACGATCTACAGTGGTCATGTGGTAACAGTTGGAGCTCTCAGAAGATAATTCTATGAGGAAAACACTGTTTACAATCTTGTAATTCTGGTAATTCTGGTCTTGAATGCATCTCAACTGATTAGCTATTGGTTAACATAGTCCACACAGCCTTAGTGACGTCATTCAAAAGGAAACCTTTTCAGAGATAAAGCCAGTTATGGCATCTTGATGCATCGTAATGAAATGTACTGATGAACCGTTGCTATAAGCAGTATGTTTTAAGGAATTAAATCATCAGTTGTTTTCACTTCAAATAGCCTACACACCAAATGTAGCGATCAATTTTTAGAAAATGAATAAGGAATTTTTATAAGTATCCATGCCATAGAGCCTCTACACAAACTACTTTAAAGTAAGCATTAAACAGAAGTTGAGATAGTCTTTCTTCCCTGAAGTATATCCGAGTGAACGTCTTCTTGAGACTTGATTTTGTCAATCGCGAACTGATTAAACAGTTATGGTTTGTTACTGCTGTGACAGGTTGCCCCGCCTTTGTCAATTTTGATTTCATGGTGACTTTAACTGCAAGCACAACTTTGACTTTACTGGCATCTATTGGACAGAACATGTACATGTGGGGACATAAGCTGCGGGCACATGTTTGAAGTGAGATTAGAAATTGGGTCAGGTGATAATTTAAGGCTGAAACTAAGCTTTTGTACATGCCTCAAAATGTGAACATGCTTCCTGCTCAAAATCTGGGTCAGTTTGCACCTTTTGTGTGTAATGATCAGCTCTCGCTGGAGCTCCCGATGGCACTTGGACGCTTTGATGGGATTGTGGAGCTTTTTGGGCCTGATGAGCTCCTCATAGTAACCGCTGTCCGTTTGCTCAGGAAGCAACTTGCTCTGGTCTAAATCCTCTTCTCTGGCCCACGTCTGATCAGGATCTATCACTGATCCAAGATCAGAGACTAAATCTAATGGAGGGAGAGAATTAAAAGAGAGCCTTCTATTACAAAACAGCCATTATCATCCACCAGGTGAAAATCTTAAGCAGTGTAAAGAAAATCCACATAATTCAATGTTATTCAGTTGCTTACTTCATTTATCAAATTGGCTGTACAAGTCATTTCAACTCTTTTTTTTTTTTTGATGGTTTCCTTAACTTAAAAGTTAAACTTGTTTAAATTGTTTTTATGAGTTAATAGAAAAAACACGTTGACTTATTGATCACATCTTTTTTACAGTGCGTTAGTCCATGTAATTGCAAAAAATAATATTAAAAAATAAATAAATAGAAAACCTGATTCACCAGGTCCAATAAGTGGCTGAGCACAGGCAGAATTATGACTCTGATGATTATGATCTGCCTGTGGGAGGATATGGATATTATTTAGTCATAATATTTAACCACAACACAAATTATGGAAGACAAATCTTTCATTTATTTTGCAGTTTCCTTCTGTTAATCACAGTGATGAGCTGTATAGTGATCATTATACCAAATATACCATATTAGTGCGTGATTAACATATTTATATAGCATGGTATTTCAAATAATACCATGGTATTACCATCATAGCAGTATCCAAAAACCATGCTATCACTATTACTAAGTTAATAAGTCTATATTGCACTGTCTCATCCTTATCTATCCATCCAAACGATCGAAAATAATCACTAAAGCTGTTGATGAAGAGGACAATAGCCCTGTGTGTTGAAAGAAACTTGCACTAACACAAGGGAGGCATTGTGGGTATGAGTGTGTGTGTGTGTGTGAGTGTGAACACCATGCTGGGTTGATCATATTGGACTAAAATGGTTTTGGGACCAGCTGGCATTTAGCCACCTCATTACTGGGCCTGCCAAACAAAATCTCCATTTTCCCTTCATAATCTGCTGTCTAGAATGTGATCGTGTCAGGAAAGTCACGAGGAGTCCTTGGACTAAATAACCAAAGAAAAATACATCAGTTATTGTTAAAGTTACTTCAACCAAATATATGCCTGTTTTACACTGAAAAGTCACATGTAAGCTATGCAGATTAAGATGTCTGGAGCCGAGAAGAATGCAGGTTTAGTTGCTGTTACGGCTTACTAAAAGCCGTTTTAGTTCACTGACATGAATCTGAAAAAAAAAAAGAAGTTTTTATTTGAAAAACTTTTCTTGTCAGTTAACTGAAATAAGTTAAAATTACTAATTGGAAATAAATAAGAACTAAAACTGAACTAAAAGTTCAATTGAAATATAAATAAATTATTATAAACTTATTTTCAGGCTTTTTTTACATTTGAATGAAAACATTAATAAAACTATTATTATAAAACTATATTAATAAAAATAAAACAACACTGCATGCCTTGATTTCACAAATATTCTAAAAAACTGAATCTAATGAACGCATATACATGTATTGTAGTTTTGATTAAATGCCTCATGCTCAAACTTTGTGATTAGAAGCCACAAAAATAGGAAAAAAATAACAAAACGGAACAAAACTAACATTCTCAACTTATACATTTCACAAATTTAAGTCTTAAACGTTGTCTATTGTCTATTTACAATCAACACATATAAGAGTTCTTTATCTTTCTTACACGCATAGCAATAGACCGGTTCTTCAAAATGGAATAAAATATCCTTACTTTCTTTCCATGGGTCACTCCCATGATTCCAAAGGTGCAGAGCACTCACTGCCTCAGGACTGTTCCAGAAACAACTTCTTTGGGATTCCACCTGCTATCTTCATGCAGAGCTGGAGGAGAGGCAGGAGAGAAATTACATCCCTCCAAGCAAACCCCTCTCTCTCACACACACACACACACTCACACTTTAGCAATCCCAGACTGCATACAGTGCCCTAACTGGTACTGCAATCCAGCAGAGGGAGGGGGAGAGAAAAAGAGGGATTGTGTTAAAACTGATGTCACTTTCACGTTTTCCACTCATTGTTAATATCAACAGCAACAGTGTTACCTTCATATAAAAGAACCAATGTGAAGGAATCAGTATGAGAGAAGAATTAACTCTGTTCTTATCGCTCACATTTTTATTTGCTTTATAATATGATCATCATGACAGAATTTTGCTTTTGTTTGGAAAAGAGCAATGTGAACATCTGCAAAAGTTCTCCTTGTGCGTTTAATGGAAGGAGTAAACTATTCCTTGAGTTTTATTTGCTAAGGGAGGGAAGATGGCAAAACGAGTTGTTAATGTCCCACTTTCAAATGTCCCAGTAAGGTTGGCTAAAGTGGCAGACTCATTCAGTCTCAGTTATTCTGGGTAAGCAGCCAATGACCTCCCCGGACTCAGGCCAGTCTCCGTACGCGTTCCTCCCCACATCATTTTGAATCAACTAAACGTAACAGAGAAAACAACCTTAAAAATATATATATATAAAAAAAAAAAACATTTTAATTTATGGAACACACACACACTGAATGGTAACTACTGTAATGGTATAACATAATACTATAGACGTTAAAGGAATTCTATGGAAATGAACAGTTCAGCCATGAATCTCTACTGGTATTCTGATTTGTTGTTTCATTGTAACTTCCGCAGCCAATCAGTTTCACGCATCCATTACTATAGGGTGACCACCTGGTTATTGCTCTGTTGCAGGACAGTATGCGATTTTGCGAGACAATGCAGGACACGTGTGTGAGGGATAAATTTACTACTATTATACTATGTAAATATTGATTTACATCATTTGGGAAGCCTATTTGCCATCACGTTTTCCTTTATTAGACTATTCAAACAATAAGTGCGTTTTCCCGGGTTTAGTGCATCTCGAACTTGTATGTTTTTGTTGTCCTGGATGGTGTAGCTATATTTAATGACTTTTTATGAGGTCCACATGGTTCCTTTGCTTCATCCACGCAGTTGTCATCAGCAGAAAATTCCCTCTCTACAAATGCGTTCCCTCTCTATCCACTGTACAACATAAAGACTGTGCAATTGGATTTTTAAAGGGATACTCCACTTTTTTTGGAAATAGGCTCATTTTACAACTCCCCCAGAGTTAAACAGTTGGGTTTTATCGTTTTCGAATCCATTCAGCCGATTTTCTGATATTTAGAAGAATATCAGTAACCAGACAGTTTCTGGTCCCATTGACTTTAATAGTATATAATTTTTCCTACTATGGAAATCAATGATACCAGAAACTGTCTGGTTACTGATATTCGTCTAAATATCAGAAAATCGGCTGAATGGATTCGAAAATGGCAAAACCCAACTGTTTAACTCTGAGGGAGTTGTAAAATGAGCCTATTTCCAAAAAAAGTAGAGTATCCCTTTAAATGTCAATCGCATGTTTAGTACTATATTTCTTATTGTGGCATTGAAGGGAAGAAATAAAATAACACAGACAAAATTGAAATGTGGGACACTAATTATGTCTTGCGGGATGCGGGAAGAAGCTTACAATTTGGGGATTATGTTCACTCCATTACTATTTCCTTTTAAAACCACGGTGCATCCAAACAAATGGACTAACTCTTCTTATTATAGCCCTCCACCTCCCCAGCACCACCTGTCTAGATCTGCTATGGAGGGTCTCACTCTCTCTAGCTGCAGCAGCATGTTTACATTTATTTTATTCACAGTATTTAACAGAAGCAAGCCGTACTTGATCTGCAGCAGCAGCAACTGAAGCAGATCTTGTCCGCCAAGGCCAAAAAAACTATGTATATTCCATTTACATCAATAAAATGTTTTCCTGAGAGTTGTCATGACAGAAATTAATAGCTCATTGCTCAGAAAAAATAACAAGACGTTCCAACCTTTTCAAAAGGTCTAGCTTCCTTTATTCCAAAGGTGCCGGCGAATACCCAGCTATCCCTGGGCTTCAGGGATGTGACCATGGTGCTGCCCAGTGCAGTGAATATCTCTCTAATTTCATCAGTCAGCCTGGAAGAGAGAAGTCAGACATGTATGAATTATTCAACTCAAAACCCAAGTTAATCATGTTGATGGTGTCTGAAGGCTGTCAGATTTTTACTGTGGTGTAGGGTCGATGTGTGAGGCCACAAGCACTATATTTCCTGGCTTTAGTGTCTTTAGATAGGCATGTAATTCCTCTGGATCTTGAAGGATAAAAGAAGTGTTTCCATATGTCAAGATATCTTTATTTGTTCAATTAAATTTAGATTTAATAGATTAAACCTATTAAAATCCTACCTTTAGATTTCACATTGAAGTAATCATTTCTTAAAACCTCACCGGTTCCACCTAAGAAAAAAAAAAAAAAAAAGAGTCAATTATTCAAATTTAATTTTATGTCCATAATTATTATTAATTGTTTGTAAACATGTATAAAACATACATATAAAAATAGTAACGTATTTTTAAATATGAAACTTATTTCCATGTCATAATTCAAATGTTTTGAAATAAACAAGAAATCAATCAAATCCTGCATAATTATTTGTAGTAAACGAACCATTTGCTATCACAATGTTCAGCCCTGGTCCTGCATTATCCCTGATGCCACCCATGATGCTGCAGAGAAGAACATTTGTGCTATTTTAGCATCTATTAGCATTACAAAAATGAAAAATTGTGTCATTTACTCACTCTCAATGCATCTTAATGTGATGCATATTTGTCAGTAATGCATAAATTAAACAAGTAATGAACATTTCTTAATAGTACTTCTAAACTGAATGTGCTTTAAATACTCAATAGCTACTTTTATATAATGTACAATCAATAAATCCAATTTGCTATAATCTCATACATTTGTACTCTGGATCTTGCTTCTTAATTAGCTAGCCACAACCGTTTTATACTTTTTAAATGATTAAATTGACCTGTTTTCACAATGAACTTAGCAATTGATGAATTAGCACATTCACCAAACATATTTTAATATGAAAGCTGTACCACTGTAAGCTTTCAAACAAATGATGGACAAACAGCATGAACATTATTTAAAATATACCTACTGTTACACTTTTAGTCATATGGATGAGTAGGCTAAATGATGACAGAATTTCCAGTTTTGGGAGAACTATTATTTTAACTTCCTTTAAAGGGATATTTCACCCAAAAATGTACATTTTGTCATTAATTACTCACCCTCATGTTGCACCAAACATGTATGATTTTCTTCTGTTTGACACAAAAGAAGATACTTGAAGAATGTCTGGCTTACCAACATTCTTTAAAATATCTTCTGTTGAACTCATACATGTTTGGAACAACATGAGATAAACTATGAACATTGAACTATCTCTCACGGTACTTACACTGTATTGTTAAAGCAGATTTTTGCAGCCACTACATCGGCTACACCGCTGTAAAGGTGGAATGGGAAGTAGTTGACAGGGCAGTGTTTAAGTGGACAGCAATTTAAATGAGCCTTAAACAGACCTGCACAGAGAAATAAACAAGTTGTATGAAAAAATACAGTCAACAATGCAGCTGTCATCCACAAAAAACATACAAATGAATTTTACCTGGATTATCACAGTCTGTCACAAAACCATTCATTTCATCTGAAATATAAAGACCCTCATTTTAGACAAATTAAAATATAACAGAGTAATACAATTGAAATTGATTAACATGCAGGACACAAGCTGTCACCATATACAGTACATTACATGATCGTTTGGCAGCTTCTTGTTGTTTTGACCATTTGACGGTGAAGCACCATAGTAAGATGATCAGCATTGTTATGAGAACATAAACACAACCTGTAAACGAATATATCACAATTATACTCACAAATATACTCACAAACGATCACACAAATTAATCAGAAATGCCAAAAACGTTTTCTTTACCTTTAAGTCTCATTTTTTGGTAGCAGAGAATACTCTTGGGCTTCTCAAGGGCCCGATGCAACATTAAAATGATTTCAAACCACAAGAAATGTGTTATCTCTCTCTCTTATACTTCGGAGTTGTTCCCTGTTCGAAAGTTGACAGGGCTATAGATAGTCTAAATAAACCTGATTTGGGATGTACCGGGCGTGGTACATTTAAAAAAAATCTAATTTCTCACCTAACCAGCTGTCAACTAGGCAGACGAGAAGTGTCATTGCATGCACTGATTTTACAATTGAGTACTGCTCTCTTGTGGACAAAACAGTAAATGCATACTCTTCAAACACACATGGAATATTAATGTATATAATTTTATTCCTGCTCAGTTAAAAAAAAAAAAAACATATTAATGGGGAGTCTCAGGTGAAAACATATAGATAAGATATAGGATTCAATCATCAAAAATAATTCAAAATCAAGAACTGAGAAACACAGTTATGGAGCTCTGGGCCCAACATAATTTTGCTTTATCAACACTATCACCTTAACATACAGGTAAAGTCAAACACTGCCATTAGGAAATATCAATAATACCAGTATAGGAAAGCAGACTATTGTTCATTTGTTTAACACAGTTAAATTACACAGTAAGGCACTGGAGTGCAAACTCTACAGCAACATTATAGTTGATAAGACAGTTTACAGTTTACCACTTATTAAGATGTGCTTTGGTATTAGTGGCACTGTTCATAGTATCCAGTGGGAAGAACCCTGAGATTAAAGTGAGAAGCTGTTTTAACATCAAGCAAAGATCAGGCACATACACACAATAAATAAAGAGGAACAACCATTGTAACAGACTTTGGTACAACGTCCCTCATTCACTGAGAAATTCAAGAAAATACTAAATACATGTTTCAAGGAGTGCATTTAAAAAGTACTACTGACCAATTTTTAAGCGATGGGCACCATGACCGTCAACTGCCACAGCTCTTTTCAGAAGTTATTTGCCTGAAATTAAATCACAGTAACTTTCATCTCTAATGTGCATCTTAACCTTTCCCCAGTTCTTCACTGTAGGGGATCTTGGCCTATTAATCCTCCCAAATGTAACCAGCTAAATTTAACTGGTTGGTGGACATATGCGTGCTGAAAAATGGTGAAACAGAGATAAATATTTCAGGAACTCCTGGTGGTTTTTAAATGACCCATGTGATGCTTTTGGCCATAAGTCACAGTATTAAAATGGAAGAGAAACTTGAAGGATAGATTGTGCTATATGATTCAGTCCAACAGGTCCTGTGGAAAGAAAAGCTAGAGTAAGAATAACAAGTGATCAAGTATACATAGTTTTGAAAGCCATTATAAACTACTGTTAACTAACCTCATCTGAATCATCGTCCGCTTCTCTGGCTGCATTTTGCTCTTCTATTTCTCGCAGTTCTGAGTATCTATATGTTGCATTGCTAAAGAAAAACATATATATCAAAATATTATAAATGTGCATATAATATACTATATATACTCATATTTACAATATTTTGAGATATGTATATGTACACACACACACACACACACACACACACACACACACACACACATATATATATATATATATATATATATATACATACACACACACACTTACATAGATAGATAGACAGACAGACTATATGTGTGTACAGAAGCCATATAAACCAGGTTCCACAAAATAAAGTTATAAGCTAATAAGTTTATTATTAACTTTCGTGTAAATTATTGAAAACTATTTTTTGGGTGAAAGGATTGAAAGGTTAGGTTGCACTGTCACAAAGCACACAGTGTTACATATCCTTTCTCTATACCTCTTCAGACAGCAGTATTTTCGTATGATGAAGACAGCAGCTGCTATTGCAGCAACAGTAACGACCACAACAGACGCGATTACCCCTGAATGGAGTCTTATAACCTGAAAAATAAGACATCAGGGAGAGTAAATATGTGCTATGCGAACGGACAGGGAAGTGACTAGCGCAAGAAGGTCGATAACGAACCTGTTGAACATTTGGTGCTGCTGAGGTGGGTTTCTCCGAACTTTCTGCCAGTCTGGATTCGCGATATGACGGAAAAGCGAAGGCGAGCTCCCAAAAAACACTATATAAAATCAAATTTTGTAACATATTTGAGTAGTGTCTTAACTTTAAACACTTTCTCGCCATTATAACGTTAGATGTTTACTTCCTACTGATTCTACCTGTCAAATGACGTAAAGGAGCAACGGCCGTGTGATTGGTCGATCGTGAACGCGATCTACTTCCGTCAACATTAAAGGTTGCAGAACTTGTTGCAGACAGATATTGTCTTATTATTGTAGTGGCTTTGCTTCTATGTTAATTTTAATTAAACATTGAGATTAATTTAAAACCTTTGGATTAAATTGGAAAACAATGAATCTTCAATTTTTACGTTAGTGTCGTCTAACAATTCTATACATTTGAATAAAAAGTTGGAACTAACCTCTGAAATGGATTCAATCATATGGTTTATTAACTTTTCAGTTATGAGCTCAAACAAGCTTGAATATGAATTGATTACTAAAAATCTATATTACATTAGAAACAGGTACAAGAAATATACACTTATTAAATAAATTGTTGAGCAGTGGTTGAATTAAAACCATACAAAGTGGCAGTATTGATCAACATGTTGCTCATCTCGGGATCAGAGCAGTTCGTAATATTTCCCTGATTGTGGATCAAAGTAACAGTTGAGGCAGGAATCATACATTAAATTGAGAAACTCTTCCTCTCCACTGTTGTCGTGTAACATAGACCCTGTGGATAGCATGGAGAAAAAAGTTACGAATAGAAAGATAAGAAAATAAAGTCAGTGAAAGTTTGGAACTTGTTACAAAGGTTTGAGTCAAAAGTTCAATTACACAAAATAAAATAGATACTTATTTTTCTCTATATGTGTTTTCATATTTTTATGTATGTTACCCTTTCCATTTCTCCAATTATTTTAAAAATTGTTTTACTTTTTACAGCCATTCAATGATTTCTCATAGGCAATTTAATAGCAGGTTCGCATTGTGACAATTTACCCCATATAGTGTATAAACTAGATGAAATCTCTTCTTCCTGAGCAGTAACGATTGCAATTTAATACCCTGCTGTTTTAGTATTGTTGAAGATATATCACTGTGGGTTTTAGATGAAGGAAATATCAATCATGATCGTGAGCACAAATCTTCTGTGCAAGTGAAATTTAGATCATGATATATTTTTAGCAACAAAGCATATGCACCCAGGATGTGGACTTTTCTGGTGTCTTACCTCTGGTTGAGCCCTTGTGATCTCCTTTTTCATCGGCCATCTGTTGATTTGGATGAACTATCGGAGGGCTAAGGACATCCATCCATTCTCTATAAGAGGGTTAACCATATAACCATTCAAATATTAAAATAAAACAGCTCTTTAATGGGGCATGAGCATGTGTCCTAATATTAAAACTAAATTATATTATATGTACACACTATGATATATGATATATAGTTTTATTATATATTGAAGCTTTTGGAATCATTGTATGAAACTGTACCAAAGCCCATGTTTGAAACTCTTGCTCTGCCGCTAACAAGTTACATCTTATTGTGAATGAAAGACCCCCCTTCTGCATGTCTCTCGCTTTCATATTCTCTCATTTACATGACACTTTTTCAAGGCACCATGTGGTGTTGATGGACAGGCTCCCTGGTGGGACGGGAGGGAGGTGGATGATGACCTCCCAGTGAGCTCTGCAACAGCGGTGACAGCTAGGTGACACATGCAAGCCTCTGAGCACATGCATAACTCCTGGTAATTCATTGTCCCTGACAACCATGCTTAATTAATCACCGAGGCGTGGCAGTGTGGGCAGCATCCCTTGACAGGAAAAGTTTTGCGTCGGAAACTAGCCATAGTTATGCTGTGGGATTGTACAAAATATGTACATAAATAATAATATGACCTCCAATGTTTTTTTTTATAATCAGTTGATTTACATTTAAAGGTCCTACATTGAATTAGTTTCCTCATAAACCATGTTTTAATTATTACAGAATAGGTTTTCTTTGTTGATTTTTATCTTTAAAAATGTATTTATTAATATACTTATATGACTTATATGAAAAATATTGTAGGTTTAACTTAAAAAAATGAAGTAACCTGGTTGCCTTTAAATTTTAAGTTCATTGAAATGGAAAAATTGAGTTAAAACAATGAAGGAGATTGATTTAATCATCAGAAACTCAAAATAATATGTTATCTGTACCAGATAAATTATTTAAGTTGATTTGACAAAAGATCAAATCATGAATTTTTTTTTACAGTGTCTAATAATAATAATAATAATGTTTGTTATTATTTATAATCATTTTGTTTGTAAACTTCATGAAATATTATTAATGATAAAATATAAAATAAATATAATAATAACAATATTAATATTATTTTATAATTGTATTATAATAATAAAATTATTAATTAGTTATCCTAATCTATGTTTTCATTATTAAATAGGTTCTTTATTCTTTGATTTTTATCTGATATATCTTTATAGGTTTTAATAGTTAATAATGTATTATTATTATTATTGTTATTATTAAAATTTCTCAAGTGAGGAGTGAGGAGAATGAGGAGAATTTTGAGAAAAGTTGCAATGCTCTGTAATGTAGACACTCTGACAGTTTCATCATATACTGAATGGCAGCCAAATCGTTTGAAGACTGGCATCAAATTTTGTGGAGCACAACACATGCTTTCTTTTTTATGCTTTGATGTTCAAAAGTTATTTTAGTACCCTGGAACCACTGGATAAAATTGTCAATAAAAACATCAAAATGTTCAGTACCCAAAAGCTACCCTATTCCGATCACATTTCGTTAACACTTTTTAGAAGTCTGAATTGTTGAAAGTGCATGAGCCTGAGGGCTGACAAAAGTTCTCTTATGAATTTGCATGATAAAGTTCCTGAAATGACTCATTCACGACTGAGCTTCAACACTTAAGAGCTTAGAGTTAAACAGAAATTTACAGACGCAGTGAAACTAAAACCCCGTATTTTTCTCTTACCTGGGATTAGAGTGAAGAAGAGGGTTCATTTCTTTCTGATAGTGCTGGCCTTGATCCACTGGCTGTAAACCACAGAGAAAATAAGTAGTCTGGTTCAGGGGTAATTTTTTCCCACTATTAGCTCCAGTCTAGTTGGAAAATATAATATGTTCTGGATAACTGTATACCTTGCTGTAAAATAATGAATTAAGCCTCTATAGTTTGGTTCTCAATTGGTGGGTCCTAAATCAAAATCGGGTTGCAGGTCTGTTACTAATGTCGTTCCATGTGTTAGGCTGGAGAATTAATTTTTGATATGTTTTAGCTTACCTCAAGGGCATCCAAGATGTAGGTGTCTTTGTTTCCACAGTAATTTCAATTTGGATATTTTTAGGTCAAACCGTTGTTGTCTGTCAGTCATATAATGGAGGTTTATGGGGTCCACCTTGGGTTCACTTTGGGTTCACGCTTCTATCTGCACAAGCCCTCAGATCACTTGAACTTGACTGTGATTACACGAGGTAAAAACGATATAAATACTGTTCGTTTTCTTACACAAACCGCTCGTTTCGTGTCTTAGGCCATCAATGTGTACTTACATTTACGAGTCATAAAATCCTGTTTAATTTGGACTTCTCTGTGCATGCTCTTTGAGGTGGTGACCATAGACCTCCATTATATGACTGACAGACAAGAACGGTTTGACCTAAAAATTTAAATTACTGTGGAAACAAAGACACCTACATCTTGGATGTCCTTGAGGTAAGCTAAAACATACCAAAAAATAATTTCAAAGTGAACTATCCCTTTAAATTGTCAGTTGTCCAATTCAGCATGTGTCACTTTAATAATGTTGCATATTGGTGGGTCTATGCAGAACTGATACATTTTGGTGTTTGGTTTTAAGAACATTTTCATTTACTTCTTCTGCCAGATAAATTATGTTACAATGTGAAATCTGGGTCCTGCAGCAAAATCAGTTGAGAAGCACTTGAGTATTGTGCAAGTTGTTCTAACCTGATGGTGGCAGTATTGCTATGTTTTCACAATCTCAAGGACTTTGCAGTTTCTCAATACCAGGCACACCAGGCATGATTAGCAGTTGCTGCATATCTTTCTAATCAACAGACGACAACCACATCAACAACTGATGGATAGGGTCTGATATTGCAATGCCATGAGAGTTTATTTCACTCTAATTAGTGGGTTTTTTTTATATAAACTGTTTGATTGCCCTTCTTTATAGGAAACCAGTTTTTAATATTCACTCTGTTATTTGCCCGCCAGCTACAGTTCATCCATACAAATTACTCGGGATAACTGAGAGGCCTAATGATGAAGGAGGAATTTAGACCTTCCCAATCTGTCCTCTCTGTGTGTGTGTATTTGTGTGTACATGTTTTTCTATCCCAGAGGGGACTTAAACCTGAATGCACACAGACTCAAGGGGACTCGTGTCACTATGGGGACCTAAATTGAGGTCCCCATGGGTGCACATGCTTATAAATCATACAGATTTTATTTATTTTTTGCAAATGTAAAAATCCAGAATGTTTCCTGTAATGGGTAGGTTTAGGGGTAGGGTTAGTGTAAGGCGATAAAAAATACAATTTGTACAGTATAAAAAAACATTATATGGAGAGTTCTCACAAAGATAGTGTGTGTGTGTGTTTATTAGCCCACCAATGGAATACACTGAGTCCAGGTTGAGGTGTCATCGCTGCTTCCACTCAGACTTATGTTGCAGTGGTGAACCTAAAAGAATAAAAGTGTTTATTTACTGGTATTGTGTTTTTAATATATGATTGAATCGCACAAGACCTGGAAATATGTTGTGTCATATCAGTCAAGTTAGAAGTATTGCAAACAGAAAGTATTTTTAGTATAATCAAGACTCCCGGTTGCCCATTTTATATATTTATACACACAACTGCAGAAAAATATGGAATTTGGGTCTTTTTTCCTCACCAAGAATGCATTTATTTGATCAAAAATAAAGTAAAACTCTTCAGTCTTTATTGTCACATGATTTTTCAGAAATCATTCTAAAATGCTGCTCAAGAAATGTTTCTTATTATCATCTATGTTGAAAATAGTTGTGCTGCTCAATATTTTTGATATATTTTTTCAGCATTCTTTGATGAACAGAAATTAGAATAGCTTGTATATTAAATTAAACATTTCTGGTAATATTTAAAATATTTACATTAAAATAAAAATAAAAATAGATAAAATAATTATATTGATAATATTGATTTTAGGTTGATATATGAATTTCCTACCTGTGATGCACTAAGGCCTGGGCTCCCCATGTCTCCATCTCCTTCTTCCTCCTGCTCTCTCTTCAAAATTGCCAATATTCGTAGCTCATCTTCCTCATCCTCATCCTCTTCACCTTGACCTCTCCTCAGATCACACCTGCTAGAGCCCAAAGGTTGAACTCTCCAATCGACACTAACCTGTAAAGCCCAAAAATCTCATTACTTCATCAGTGCCACTTTGCAGTGAGACAAATCGTTACTGGGTATAGCTAATTAGCAAGCAATCAATCATAGCTCACAAGCTAATTGGCACCCCCATTAAGGCCAAGACATCAGCAGGGTGGCTGCCTGCTGCTTTGAAATCCACTTATATGAAGTCCTACCTGGATTTAGGAGCGACCTTCCAGAAACTTCAGCAGCATCAGTTATGTCCCATGTTTAAATGGGGGAAAGTAGTGTTATTGGGCAACGTAATGATCCTCAGTCATTCCCACATCAAACTCTATTTAAACCATTTAGTTAATCACCAATTTCAGACCTGCGGGGAGAGTCTGGTAGTTGTGCTCAATGCTTGAACCAGTTTTAGTTTCTGTTTAACAAACATGTTCCAACATCTAAGAGAGGAAAGAACACTAATGAGTTCTCTTTGATTTCCTAGATGTTTCTCCTAGCCTTCAATGAGATGAAATGGAGAGAAAATATAGATTTTGCTGAAATCTACTGCTTTTCGGGATTATCGAAAAAATCTGTTATTTTAATATTCTGATATTTTGAACACACCATTTTTGTCTATATAGCAGAAGTCAAAATGAACATTACACCTCATTGTATGGAAATTGGAAAAAATAGATTTTTAAAAAATAATATCTTCTTTTTTTAGTATTTGGTCCGCATACATCAAACAATAGAGGGGAGTAGATTATTCCTGCAAGTGTTTCAAAATGTGTGAGTAAATACAAAATATTCAATTTTGATTAGTTCCTTTACCTATATATATATATGTATATATAGGATCACATTAGTACATCAATATTGGTGAAGTCCCACTGATCAAGACTCCAAAGTTTTGACTCATGACTCAATTGTCTCATTTGTGTCTATTTCTATATAGGCCAAATGTCCGAGGCAAAGTAATTTTGTTGTAACATAACCCCTGAGCTAAGAAAGAGCGACCTCTGAGCAAAAACATTCCTCTGGGAGTTCAAAACCCCTAAAAAATGCTAAAAAAAAAATCACAAAGACAAAAGAATATTATGTCCTATCCATTTGCATTACAAGGACACAACCCACTCCCCTCAATCTGAATGGATTGAAATGGATTCAAATTTCCAGTCACTGGGGAGGATAAGAACCACACCAGTTCTGAAATTACAATAAGAAACAGAGACCCTCATAAACAAGCCACTCTGCTGGAGTGCACTAATTCAGCTGAAGTATGTGCTTGATTTGATCCCCTCTAACCCTGAATGCTTGCTACGTTTAAGAAACATTTCATCCACATGAACACAGCCAATGTGATTTGTGTGGGTTCACTCCACAAAACCCAATTATTCTTGCAACTTTTTTCTGCAGAACACAAAATTAGATATTTTAAAGAATGTTAAGTCTAAACAACATTGGACGCCATTGACTTTTTCGACATTTTTCGAAATGTTTTTTTTGTGTACATAATGCTGATTTGATTTTATTAGACCACGCTGATTTTTTTTTGGAATGAAAAAAAAAAAAAAAAAAACAGTCAAGACAAGTAAACAGGCTCACCTTTGGGAGCCCAGAATTGTTCAGTGAGATCTCTCGCACAGACGCTCTGTTGATAGATATTCTGGTATCTCCATCAGGCAGTGGTCTGCCAGCCTCGGACCGATCCACTCTACTGGAGGAACTCGGTGAGAGACAGCGGGTTGGTGCTATTCGCATGGGTTCATGCTTCTTTGGTCCTTTAGAGACATGCCGGACTGTGGAGGTCTGAGTCTTAATTGGCTCATAAGAGAACTCTGGTAGGACTGTGTGTTTTTGTATTGAAGGAGGTGGTGGGGGAGCAGTAATGGAATGGACTGCACATCTATGGAGGAACTCTGCCTGCATTTCATCCTGTGAAAAGAAAAAAAGATTTGATTCTTATTATAATAAAGTATTATGAGTATAAAGAGTTATGCACTGAAGTTTGATACTTAAGGCTTAATTTAAAATAAAAATAAATTCCCTTAGCAATCATCACTAGTTATGAAACATCGAGATGACTAACGGGCACTCCGTTCAGTTATCTTCTTTCAGCCTGGAATATTAACATATGGAAGGAAAGGCATTAATAAATCAAATTTCTCAAACTACAAATATCAATTTTAACAACAAACTTGTGATGGAGTCATAAAGAGAATGATGAAATCTCGTGCAAGGATCTCAGAGCTACGAACGAACGCCAACGCTGTCACAGATGAAACGCATTAATAGCCACAACGCGAGACAGTCTGGCGCGGGCGGGGTAACATCACAGTTACCTGTAATTAATCAGGACGACACTGTACCCGGAAAGTTGTCTGTCTCTGCTCTGTTTTGGAACAGATAAGGTCTTTAAACTAGTGAGGCTTTGATCTACACTAATGGTCTTAAACAGCTAGCTTCACACTAATGATGACAACCTCACTAAAAGGGCACGGCCGGCCGAGCCATCAGATCAGCCTGAGTTTTTGTCTTCTTTCTTTACATCTTCATATCCCCTGGAGGGACCAGTTTAATATTTTAGCATTTATTAGGAAAAAAAAATAAAAGTGTCATCTCCTCTCACCACGAGTAGTGCTGACAACCGGTAAACACGCATCAGTCTGGTGCGGCCCTATATCTATTTGCAGTGAATTTATTTAAAGCTAGGCAGGTTATACAAGAAAGTGAATGTTCTCAGGGTGTTTAGAGGTTATTAAGATGTGTTACAGATGAATTTCAATATGTTATTCCTTCATCTATCTTCTTTTGACAACTCTGTGGCATTAATGGAAGTCATTAGGCGAATATAATCACCTCTGCTTCCAGTGGAAATGATTTAATATCACACAGGTGCAAGTTATAGAGGTATAACATACACATAATGTTCAGAATGTTCAAACAAGTCATTATTTTTATTTTTTTTAAAACTCCCATTAGTTATAAGTAGACAAATGCGGACACCTGCTTTTTGGAAGATGAAAAAAAGAAAAGAAATCAAGGGCGGGAACGGAAGGGGAAATAAACAACAAATAAATCTGTCAGTGATATCAATCAAAAATCTCTAATTAAGTGCTGCAGAACATATGTATGGCAAAGATGAGAGTGATTTCCCAAGAGGAGACGAAACAGACTGCAGATAAATGAATGATGATCCTCTCACTGGACGCAGAACCCAGGAGCACCTTGGAGCTCAATGCTGTCTCGTCAGAAATTAACTGAACTGAAAGAAACTGATGGTTTTCTTTATTGACTTAACAGAGTGGCAAGGACCCTGGGGGGAACAATCAAGTTGTGTGTGTATCATTAACAGCTGATTCCACTAGATTGTGCGTCCTTGAGAGGAAACTTAGAAAGGAAAGAATGCAGGCAACATTGTTGAGGAGTTGAGGAATTGTTCCTGATGTTGTGGTTGCATATGTCTACAGTACATGCATCCGTGGCATCTATCTACTGTATCTATCTCTGTCTGTCAGTCTATTTTGTGTAATAATGAATTATGACATATCTCAACTTAATTTCAAATTTCAAGTGGTAATTTGACTTAACCAATTCGACAGAAACTATGCGTTTTTTTTTTTCTTAGTGATTTCATAAGCCGAGTAGGACAAGACCAAAAGCTTACTTAACTTTTTAAATGTATCTTGTACACAATAAAGCTCTAATTATCAGTTGTGGAGCTCTGCTAGCCGCTCTTGTTAGCCCAGTAGATTAAATACTCAAATTACTTGAGCAACTTTCTTAATGTTTTGAAATCTGTTAAAGGGTTGGTTCACCCAAAAATGAAAATTCTGTCAGTATTTACTCACCCTCATGTTGTTCCAACCCTGTAAGACCTTCGTTCATCTTCGGAACACAAATTAAGATATTTAAGATATTAAGATCGCTTGAGGGAATGACAATTGATGGCCACGAAAAGTCATTAAAGACATCGTTAAAATAGTCCAAGTGGCTCAATCTTAAGTTTATCAAACGACGACAACACTTTTTGTTCGCAAAAAACAACAAAAATAACGACTTTATTTCAACTATTCGTTTATTTTTCTCTCTCTGCCTTGAGTCAGGTTACTAGTTTAATAGCGTAAGCTTCTGTTATTGTACGTCACACGCATCACACACATGACCAGCGTCGGCCAATAGTGAGCCTTCGTGTGACGTAGCTCTACACAATCACACTACGTTAACTGACTACAGGCCCATAGAGAAGGAAGTAAATATTTGAAATAAAGTCGTTATTTTTGTTTGTTTTGGCGCACAAAAAGTATTCTCGTCGTTTGATAAACTTAAGATTGAGCCCCTGTAGTCACTTGGACTATTTTAACAATGGCTTTAATGACTTTTAGATGCCAGCAAGTGTCATTCCCTCAAGAAGCCTATGGACTAGTATGCAGGAGCGATCTTAATATCTTAAATATTTTCATTTGCGTTCCGAAGATGAACGAAGGTCTTACGGGGTTGGAACAACATGAGGGTGAGTAAATACTGACAGAATTTTCATTTTTGGGTGAACCAACCCTTTAATTGGATGTTGTTAAATCAATTATTTCCAAAGCCATAAATGTATTGCTGTCTCTGCATTTTAAATTGTGTGAGTTGTCTGTGTTCATACCTCTTCACTTTCACTACACACGAAATCATCCTCCAGACGTGCATCTTTGCGCTCTCCTTCAGTTACCAGCTTGTGACCTTTAAGGCCAAAGGTCGAATCCTCAACAGGGTTGCTGCTAGCCTGATTCCGTCTGGCTGAGTGAGGGCATGAAGAGAAAGTGAAGACTTCCTCTTCGTATTCCTCGTCACAGAGAGAGAGCTCGGTTTCTGTGTCACAAATGTCAGCGTCATCTGTAGTCAGCACACGGTCTGGAGGTGAAGCAGCACATGGAGGCTTGAAGGCTGACCCAGATGTATCCGCACTAGAAGCACAGTCTGCAGAAATATGAATTTACAGGTAACCACCATTTGTTGCAATTTTAAATGTGCTGTACTTGATATATGTGTTAGTATTTTGGTCTGAAATTCTGTCTGGCTTAGTCCGCCAGAATGGGCTTATAGCTTATAGTCGATAAAAACCAGGGAGACAGCCTCCAAGCCCCGCTTATATACGCTAAGCCACGCCCATTCTGGCAGGCTAAGACGCTAAATTTTCTTAATTATTTAAGTAGAACTTATCTGTAAAAAAGCCAATTGAAAACAATGGTAATAACGTTGAGAAAACAATTACTACTTCCTCTTTTTTCCATTGACTTACTGTCTCTATAAAGATCAACAATGAAGATCTAATTACTAAACATAATGTTTCGTCTTTCATTTTTTATACTGGCACTCATGTTCCTCGCCTTGCGTTCATTTTAATGAGCATATGCAAATAAAAGCAGAACCAGAAACCTTGAAGATTGAGATTGAGATTCGCTTGCCAACTGTGTGTGAGTAGGAATTTATAGGATACGTCCAACCTCTTTCATTTGTGCTGTATTTTATAACTGCAGCATTATGCTTTAATGGTACCTTAAAATATACATAAATGGGGGAGATGCATTAGAATAATATTTGAAAGATGTGGATGGCAGGAATATACATGTGCGGTCCCAAGAGAATAAAGGGAAAATAGTATTAACTTTGCCAGTGTGTGTGGGTTCGGGAGAAGGGGAGAGGTTGGGGGTGGGATTTCTGGCTTTCCCACTGACACAAAAACATTAGCATTAGCATATACACAAGCATCATTAGTAGATAGGGAGCAATGGTACAGTAAGATCATAATTCAGACGGGCGATGTGTGCCTGTGGGGTCTGCATGCCCTCATACTAAAGAGAAGACACCCAGAGAGCAGGGAGCAAAAGACACCGCAGAGACCAAGTGATGAATTTGCTGTGTGAGTCTACAGAGCTTTGATCTACTTCAGCAAAATGCACAGCAGCAAAAAGTCTGACTAAACCGCTGTGAAGTTGTGTGAACTGTGAACCTGAGTTGTACTTTCTCGTACCTAGAGACAAGGACAAATAAAGGGCATCGGAAAGCAGAACAAATTGTTCAGCGCTTTAAATTACTCAGGTTGATGACTATCATCATCCACGACAAATGCACAGGCCATACAGATGACACTACATTTCTCATAATTTTTGTGAACTATTAGATGAAAACAATGTCATATTACAGCAAATAACTGTTTTTATTGCTCAGTGGTTGCTCTTTTGTAGCTGTTTCATTTAAAGAGGACCTATCATGCTTGATTTTCAAAGTCTTCATTTTGTCTACTAGAACAGGTTTTCATGCTTGATTTTTCAAAAAATATTATTTTTTACATATTTTACATTGTTGCAGCACCTCTCTTCTTAGTCTGGCAGTAATGCTCTGTTCAGTTCCGGTCTATGAAGCCACTCCTTCCAAAAAGATAGCGTTCTCTGATTGGTCAGCTGGAACATTGTGTTGCAGTTTGTCAACAACAACGAGACTACAATCACCTCGTTCAGAAACAGTGTTACTGATATAGAGAATTACACCCTTTGGAGTGAATTTGTGCTTTGTAACTTTACAGACCTTTTTCATATTCAAACAGCAACATTACACGCTAAAAAGTAAAAAACTTATTTTTCCTAAGATTCCTTATGAGATATAGAAACAATTTGTTTCTGTATCTCATAAGGTATACAATTAATATAAAAATATAAAATTGTATAAAAATCACGTTTATATTGAAATCCGACTTCACCTGATATCTTTGCAAAGATTCTGAGCACAGTTTGAGACTATTGAGACACTTTTGAAGTTCTAGCAGAGACTTATGACTTATCACTAAGGTCTTTGATATTTCATCCATCTCCATCTTTGTCTCCATTTATTTTCATTGCTGTCTAAGAGAAACAATTGTGATACTGAGATTCAGCTTTAATGTGTTGTTTTGATTGGCCTGCGTTTTGTTCTGTTTGTTTTGCTCACATGCATGGATCATAATGACGTTGTCAGCTAAACGAGATGAAATACGAAAACGGCGACATAATGGCCATGTCAGATAAAGTGATGTAAAGGCTCTATTAAGCTCTTCACAGAGTATCATTTCATCTAATTAAAGCATGCACGCTCACAGAGCACCTCTCAAGAGTTGCCTTCGCTCTTACCATTCCAAGGGGTTTTGCATATTTCGATTCCTGGCACGTTTTTGAACAAGCTTATATTGTAATCACCTTTTCTAATTGCCCACGGTGCAAGCTTGCCTGAACCCCAGAGACTTCTTTCTGACCTACACAGTGTACTTAATGTCCCATTACCACTAATGAACTCTCTTTCCTCTGCTAAAGGGAAGTTAGAGTTAGGCCTACTCCGCAGGAAAGGATTGTTAATGTGGAACAACTGCTTGTGTTCTTAGTTCTGGCATCAAGGCGGCTTCCAGAATCACTCATTTGGTATGTTTAGTTTGCTAGGCCTTTGGTACTTCAAGACAAGTAGAGCTGAACTCTGAGAGATCAGGGTGGATGTACAAATCTAGTTTTAGAAACATTTTGTAGTTTCATTTACATTTAGATCTTAATTGTTCACAAACTATTCTAAAATTGGAGTTGTTTTCAAACTACATTTATACATTATCTGTGCTTTAAAGCTAAGGTAGGCAATGTTTTTGATAAACACTTTTTGTTATACTGGTTGTAACTCTCTATAAATCCTGATAGCAATTAAAAATAGAAGTGGTCACATCTGTTTTGAAGGAGGGCACTCAGGAGAGAGGCTCGGATCTATGCTTTCGAAGCTAGCTTGCTATTGCTAGCCTCTCTGAAATTGCCAACCCTACACTCTAAAAAATGCTGGGTTGTTTTAACCCAATTTTGGGTCAAATATGGACAAACCCGAAATGTTGGGTTAAAAATGTAATGTAAAAATTTAACCCAACGGCTGGGTTAGTCCATATTTGACCCAAAGTTGGGTTAAAACAACCCAGCATTTTTTAGAGTGTACCTTTAGAAAATGTGAATGATGCCTTCCTGTGCACAAATTGCCATTAAAATGGGTGGGTGTCTGGGCATAACTATGAGTTATTAAGGGTGTTCTGGGTAGTTGTCAGGGTGTCACTAGTAAATTGCTATGGTTTTCTGGGTGGTGCTATGTGGATGTTTACAGGCTTACAAGTCATTTCATCACCCATCAGGTGAAAATCATGTTAGATCACATAATAGTAGAGGACCTCTCCTAAACAAGCCACACAAATGAGGTATTATTTATGTTATGAGTTACTTCCGTTTAATTATCAGCACTATAATGAACATAATGACTCACCTTGTAGAATTGGATCGGTTAATTCATCTTCTACTGTTAGATCAGAGCCAAATGAGGATAATGCAATTTTTCCTTGAAGCTCAGGTCCCTTCGGCTTCAGGCTAATTTTGCCACCTTCTTTATCTTAGGGAGTACATATGAGATTAAAATAAAATCCAATGATTTTGTAGTAGCAGCAAACTTCAAAAGTCAACAAGGAATTATATTCAAGAGAACATATAGCATGAATCTTTGGGGGGAATCTGTCTGATTAACATTTTTAAAAATAAAAAAAGTGCTCATTTTGATTGCCAAATGCAAAACATCAATGCTGAAAAACATTAAAAGTGCTCTTATAAAAAAAGAATCTTTAAAGTCCACAAAAACATATGAACTAAAGCTGAGTGACCTAACATCTTACAAAAAAAAAAAAGAAAAAAGTTTGAGGTGAGTTTTTCAATTCACATTATTTTGATCAAATGTGGCATACTTATGTAAAACAGAAAGTAGTGTTACTGTAAATTTATTTTACAGTACTTTACTTTAAATTTCTAATAATATTTCACAGTATTACAGTTTTTTACTGTATATTTGATCAAATAAATGCAGCCTGTAAGCATAAGAGACACATTTCAAACACATAAATAAATTTAAAAAATCGTCCCAACCCCAAATATTTGAATGGTGGTAGCTCCAACAGGCTCGGTATATGTTAATGAAATCACCTGTCTTGGATTTTTCTCTCCTTGCATTTTGGATTCTCTGTGGTATCCTAGATCCCATTCTCTCAACAGATGGCCTTTCAAGTGGAGGTCGTGGCTGTACATTTTCAATTCGGCCTATATTTGGAAACATAATATAATAGTACAAAAATGATTGCTTTCCCCAGACTACATCAGCTCATGTATCATTACTAGAATCTAATCTATGAACTAAAATATTCATTACTCCCACTTGGTCCTAGATGTTATGTGTCAAGAAAATAAATAAATATGTATTTGCCTGATGGTATGTTGAGGCTCAATTCAGACTTGGATCTTTCTTCTTTTCGATTCGCAGATGTGCTGCTCTTCCTGGCGGTGAGCGGAGGAGGTCCGATAACCTTTGAACCAAAAGCAATATGGGAGAAGTCCTGGGTTGTAGGACACCTTGTGATGGATGCCTTGACGCCACCTGTCTCTTCTAGTAAACAGACATGCACAAAACGCTTATCCTAGATGATATGTATATAGCCCAGGCAAATTTCTAAGGCCTCTAAATACTTTATCCCTTTTATGTCTGATAAAAATCAACCATAAAATCTGAATAAAATAAAAGCATCTATGGTTCTTGTCTATATCTATTTCTATTCAAAGGTGGATTGATTCAACCCAAGTCAACCCCTGAATATTCTAACAATTCAAGCAAAGTGACGATGTATTAAAATAGTTAATGTAATTCTGTTTGTATTTACTCTAACAATTTCTATATGACAATACGACTGCTTTCATATTCATAATCCTTGTAATTGTGAGGCCCTTGCCATCTGTTGGTTTGGAATTGGCATATTTTCAATTGTTATTTAGCGCAACGCTGCAAAAAAAAAAAAAAAAAAAAAAAAAAAGAAGAAGCAGTGTTAAGGTCATGGCAACCTGGCAGCAAAACACAGAATACGGCCATTTGTCATTTCAGCATAACAGCCAGCTCATGATCCAAAGCTGTAAGCCACAACTACACGGTTTCTTACACGGCCCACGGTGTTTTGATACATTGTTGCTTGTTCATAAAAGAGGGAAAAATTAATTAATGTACAACTAGAGATTGCAGTCTTTTGTTGCAATATTTGTATATGTAGAAACAATTATATGATCTCATTACAGTCCAACACCTCTTGCCATGCGACCGCTTGTTATATTGTTATCTTGCTAGGGCATTATTTGATTATTTTTCTAGAATCTAAAGGTGATATGACAGCAGTCTGGCAGTGTGATGTGAGGCCAACAGATGTCTGGATAAATAAAAGCCCTAAGAACAGCAATGAAGGTCTCACTGGGCCGGCAGAGTGGACAGGTATGTGACTAAAGAGAGATGATTAGAGCTCTCTTGGCAAGAGGTGTCTCTTGTCAGCAAACTAACAGACAGCAAATAGCAGGAGAGTTCTGCAGAGGGGACTGACCTTCTGTTTAGCAAAGAACGGGAGAAAAGCACATCACTTTATGACTCAGTTGAGTTAAACGCTCAAAAAGAAATTGATAGAAACTAAGCTAAGAAGGGAAATCGCATTGAAAGATGAAGTATTTGCACTTGGAACTGACCAGTATCTGAATTCGCAGGTCCTCCCTTTAAATCAGTCTGTCCCAGTGTCTTCATGTTCACCAACTGGACAACGTGCTGAACTTCACTAGGAAACTGACAGTTCCTGGGAATCTCATCTTTTGGACCATTTCCTATTTCTAAACCTAAAGTTAGAGTGAAATACAAAAAGTAAATGCTTTTAGGCAATGAGAGAGATGTTTAATGTAAAAAATAAGGCTCATCATTTGGCACTTTCCATGAATTTTTTTTTATCTTTTTCAAGGGACAGTGAAAAGGTGCTCAACTTTAAGACTTTCAACCATGGCAAACAATACATTATTTAAGCCATTTGAGGTATTTTCTGTGAGGTTTGCCGTTTTTGCAACACTGTTGTCAGTGAATATGAGTACATTTTTTTATGAAAAATGAGTATAAATTAATATTTTTACATTATTAACATTGACTGTATAATTAATATTAAGCATTAATATAACATATAATAAATATAATTATTTAAATTATACAAAATGTATTTATTTATTTATAGCCTACTTTAGGTTATTATTTACTAGTGACTAATTAGTTTGCTTTTTTATTGCTAAACGTATTTCTCATAAATTCAAGAAAAAAATGCTTGTCAATTTTTTTTTTAATTAACTTAATTAATGTTTTCCCTTTCTATAACTACAGGTATGAATGGGTGTGCTCAACAAATGCAGTCAATAATGCAATCTTTGAGAAAATGGAATTATATATATATATATATATATATTTTTTATTTGCCATGCTGCAGAAACTGATCTTATTTTAAGTATCTTAAAATCTTTATGAAGTTTATGGATTTTTTTTATAGGAGGAAAGTCATGCAGCAACAGGTTTGCAAAAAAAATAAAAAAAATAAAATAGGACACAGCTAAACATTACATTTAACATTAGATTATGTGCTCTTTGTGCTCTAATCAAAGTAATGGATCACTTTCCCATTGAAACCCTCCCATTGAAAACAATTGAAAACCCTCCCATTGAAAACAATTGGAAAAATACACTAGGAATGGGGAAAAAATGCTTTGCTGGAGACACAGACCAAGACTGGTTGCCCACTGAAGCTAAGCAAGGTTGAGCCTGGTCAGTACCTGGATGGGAGACCTCCTGGGAAAGGCAGGTTTCTGCTGGAAGAGGTGTTAGTGAGGCCAACAGGGGGTGCTTACCCTGTGGTCTGTGTGGGTCCTAACCACTGATCTATAGATCAGTAGTCCTGACACCCCAGCATAGTGATGGGGACACTGTACTGTAACAAGCATGGTCCTTTGGATGCAACGTTAAACTAAGGTTCTGAGTCTCTGTGGTCATAAAAAAAAATTGAAATAGAATAGGAGTTGAACCCCAGCATCCTGGCCAAACATTTGCCCATTGGCCTCTGTACATCATCATGTCCTTCTTATCATCCACACATACTGATTGGCTTCATCACTCTGTCTGCTCTCCACCAATAAGCGGTGGCTATTTATAAGCTGTACCTATTTATTCCTATAGGACCTATAGTATAGGTAGACGTGGATCATCTAAGAGTCTGCTGATGCACTGATGATTTCCTGTCTCTATGAAGCCCATTCTTCTGAAAAGTGCAATGTGCACCAATTGGTTGCAGTATTTTTCGGAAATTTCACGTCCCTTACCATAACCGTGCGTTTCAACACACCACTAACTAATTCAACCAGGCCTCTGCACTTTTTTTGGATATGCCTTGGGCGGCAATTATTTGAATGAGGAATATTGTGATATGTACGTTTCCAGACGAAAACTGAAGACTACAATCAAGGTGTTTCAGGAAGTTCAGAAACAGTGCTTACTTCTGTTGTGAACTTTTTTTTCTTGTGTGGTGTGGGAAAGACCAGGAGACTCGGGTGTATCTTTTAAGCAGGATTCTGTAGCATTGCTAAAGGTATACAGGTTTTGGAACCTGCTCAGCATGAGACACGAGAACAGGACGGTGTAGGACTTCTTGTTCTGAGACAAGAACTCCAAGACAACTGGTCTCAGTAATAAAATAGCAGGTGTTCAAACTTGTTCAGCATGAGTCTTCACCCGGTGAGACACGAGAACAGGAAAGGCATGGTGTTCTCGTACTGAGACGGGACAGTCAGGAATATCCTGCTGGGAACCCCTACCGTTTGCAGAGATTTCCTGGTCTCATCCTTTATAAACTTTCTCAATATAAAATACTATTGTATTGGAAATCTTAATTAAACATTTAATGTACATGTATTCATTTAGCTGACCCTTTTATCCAAAGCGACTTACAATTGCTATATATATCAGAGGTCGCACGCCTCTGGAGCAACTAGGGGTTAAGTGTCTTGCTCAGGGACACATTGTTGTCTCACAGTGGATTCAAACGCGGGTCTCTCACACCAAAGGCATGTGTCTTATCCACTGCGCCATCACCATCCCCTAAATAAATATTCTTAATGTAAGTGTAGGATTACAAAGTAAATTTGTAATCCTACACTTACGTTAAGAATCCCTCCCTTTGGAGTGATTTTGTGCTTTGTAACCTTTCCATGCACACACAGCGACATTACACATCAAAGAAAGTCGAAAATATAAAATAAAAAGCATAATACGAACACTTTAAAAAGAGGGCTACAAAATGGTATCCATCAAGAAAAGCTTTCCCCAACCTCCATCTACGCAGTCTGCTGGTTCATTCTTCATCGTGAAGATGCGGCGAATCTTACAGCAGGCGGAGATGATGATGCCATCCAGAGACAGGAAGCGCTTCCCTTTGAATATCTCAGTGGTGAGGGAGTCCAGATCGATACACAGATTACACCACTGCACACAGACAGTAGTACCTTATCACACTAGCTCCAGAACAGGTCATTTTTTGGTCATGTTACAAAGTATCTCACTGCCTGAGCTAAGACAAAATGATCTGACTGCTCATTTGCAGACATTCGTGGAGAATGTAGCAGCGCATAATGATCATCAGGACTTACAGTATTTCGTTTGAGCCACGTTAAAGGTATTCTCGCATGCAACGGGGTTGCTGAGACCTCTTTATGAACGGTCGACAAGTAGAGTCTCCTCTTTAGGTGCTCTTCATCAGTCACTCTAGAAGACAGCATTGCAAAGTTAACTAAATAGCTTGCTCTGTGAAGCAGATGGAAAGTTCTTTAATCATTTTCTTGTGTGTGTTTGAATGAGAACGTGTAGGAGTTGTATCTGCATGCGTGAAAGTGTGAATTATTTCAATCTCCATGGTTATAAACCCTGAATTTCAACTATATCACAGCAGAGCAACATCAAGATTGTTTTCAGAAGCTTGAAGATAGATGTCGGATGAACCTGTTAACAATTTTAAATTCATTTTTAAAAAGAAACACTTACAGAAACTCAGTGGAAAAGTCTTTTCCCAAAGGAATGTTGACCTGTAGAATCAGAAACTTCTGAATCAAACCAACTATATAGGAACAAGAAACAAGGGATGTTAAGATATGAAAGAGACATATAATTGGTGATTCAACAATAATCAATCAATATGACAATACGATAACACTAAATATTTTTGTTGCAATGAGAAAGCAATGTTGTGAAGATGCTTAAGTACAGTAAAAAATCTAGGTTCAAATGTCACAAATAGAATTTGGCACTTTCAACAAAGGCTCAGTGAAAGAAAGCGCTTAACTTTCAAACTTTCAACCAAAATCAACCAATATATTATGGAAGCTTTTTGTATTTTCTGTGAGTTTTTTTTTTTTTTTTTTTTCACGAATGTTTGAATACAGTTTTAATTTTAAAGATAAAACTAGCTTTTTAGACCTAAAAAATGATAGGCCTTACTAGAACACTTAAGTAACATTTAAAATTAATCTAGCCATTCGTAACAATAAATATAAAATGTGAAATGTAAGTGCACTGAATCTGATTTCTTCTGATTTTGACAGCACTTACGAGCCATCTTGCTATCCTTAGGTAACTGCATCTTGTGTGTTTGACTGCTGCCTTCAAGACTGTATACAAAGCCCTTCACTTCTTTATCAAACACCTGTTAACAAAGAGAAGATAAACTAATAAGACAGGTGCTTCAAATAATCCTCCTCAGTAGTATCATGTACCCATGATATCTCAACATACAGTATAAAAACATAAAAGCAATGCATGGACTTTTAAAGTTACAAGCTTTTGTGCAGGTTTCTCTGGAATGGTATTAGTTTAGTTCTTCTTTTTGCTGCTACTTGTGGTATTTTTCAGGTAGATGAGAATGTAAAATAATAGCCATCATCCAATTCAAGAGACTATAAAGGGCAGATTCTGCAATGCAAACTGTGTCTCTATGAATGCGAGTCCCTCTTTACTCCACTGAATAAGGTTTTTATCTTTTTTTCCCAAGGTTTTTCTTTTTGTTTTATGTTTATTTTTGAAGGCCAGTTTCTTTATATGGACATGCCTTAGAGTCTTGGCTACATATAATTGCCTAGAGGGAAAAAAAGATACAGATCATTGAACACATGCTGACTTTGTGACAACATGCCATGAGGATCATCATCCCATTTTCTTCTTTTCATTATGGCAAAATCTGTCATTAATGAAAAACATACATACTTTAGTTATAGGAGGTTTCCTGCCATATAGTTTCCATTTTGCCACAGGATCTTTTCCTTGCGCACTGAAGATGTCAACCGTGAGACCACCCTACACACACACACACACACACACAATGAAAAGCATTGAAAGGAATTGCAGAATAGAATTACAGTTCAGTGCCCACTCACAGTACCTGATAATCGTTTCTAAACATGCTGCCAAAAGATTGAATTGTGAAGGTTGCTTTATTATGTCCTCTTCGAGACAAACAAAAGATGACTCATAACCACTGCAGCACAATGACGACGGTTCTATAGAACTAATATCAGCTAACGTTAGCATTCGCCTTAATAGCCTGGTAACTATCAGACTAGCGCCCAAAACATTTAACCACATTCACCCAGCAGAACGAAAAACTCTGTTAAAAATTCTCGGTTCGTTCAGTCATTTAGGCTGTTAGAGCGCTTTAATAATAAAACACTTAAGCTAGTTAGCTGATTAGCTAATTCACAGGCAAGAGCAGGGGCAGGTCGTTTCCATGGCAACGGGACGCTATCACCGTGGCACTCTGAAATAGATAAACAAAGCATTTTATATTCCGATTCCTTATGCAAAACTGTAATGTGACTTAAATACTACCGAAATAGAATTGAAATAGAATTAAATAAATATAATTGCTAAGTGTAATAGTAATAATAAATGCCATTGTTTTAGTATGAATTGTCCAGATTATTTATATTAATTCATTACATGTTTAGCTCTTTTCTCGGCACTCAAAGTGCTTTACATAGAAGGGGTAAATCTAAATTATAAATGTATAGGCTATTAATTATCTTGATTCTACCTGAACAGCCAATGCCTCTCTTTATTCATGGAGAATGTATTGTAGACACAGAAAGTTGACTAGTGAAGTTTGAATGACAGTGCAATTGCATGTGTTAGAAATAACATCTTCCCCAAAGTCTTGCAACACCTTAGACCTACTGCTTTAAGTGCATTGTGAATCATTCATCATTGTTGAATGGTGAATGTCAAATGCATGCGTTTTTTGTAAGACAGAGATTAAACTTTCAGTATTTTACCCTGTGTGACTATGGAGACTGGCACCACAGAGAATTAGTATTCATTGTGCAATGTGCTAAAGAACGAAAGAAAGAAATATTATCTGTTAGGTTCCTATCCATGATAATTTAGAGAGAGAAGCGTTTGTGTGTGTGACAAAGGTTTAACTTTGAGCAGATGGTGGGTCTTTACATGCATTTCAATACTAATGATGCAGCAACTGCAAACTGCTCTCCAAATTGGATTTTGGACAGTTTTTAATAAGTCTATTACTAAGCAATGCAAATTAAGGCCATTGTCACTGAAGGTCAAATATGTAATTTGATGGCAGCTTGAAACATACCTGAATAGACACCCTACAATCAATAGGCTAACAACACTATTCAAAACCACAAATAGTGCCACACTTTATTGTGAATGTAGCCTACAATCTGTTTGATTACCCAATTTTTTGTAATTCCCTGTGATAGATGGCCACTGAGCTGTCATTTCCTATAAGAATAGCCTTATTAGGTCTAAGGATGAAAACATACATTTACATAATTTTTCTGGCTTAGTACATTTGCAGAGTTCCTAAGGTTATTTATGGAGTCCCTTGCACTTATAATTAATGTAGTTCCTGATGTATTTCAGCATGTACTGTAAATGCGACATTGCTCACTGACTGTCAAAATTATGTAGCTGTTGTTGAGTGCGTTGAGTTGCGTATTCTGTTGTGCGTTTTGCATATTGATTAGAAAGCAATTTTTTTAATAATAATAAAAAAATCTCATAACTTAACTCCATAAAAATAACTTAGCCCTCTTGACAAATTCATGCCTTTAGCATTTAATTAAGCTATTTATAATAAGCAGTTACAAGAAAAACTGCTACTATGCAGAAATCGTTCATTATTATCATTGCTAATATCGGAATGTAAAGGCCAACGCCAACCCCCCGAGAGCACTGAAGCTTACATTTACTCAGTGTAAGGTTGATTTTAATACTCGGATAAAGCTGGAATGTTTCTATGGTTATCTGAAGGCCAAAATGTAACTTAAAAAAAAAATTATGGGTTGTAATCTAATATATTATTTTCAGTACAAAATGACCTTTTAAAAAATGAAGTATATTTGATTGAGTTAGCCTAGCACATTACTGATGAAAAATTGAGAAGGTTCAAGTGGATAAGTGTTTAGTAATGAAATTTTGAAATTCTACAATTTTGGATTAAGTGTTTCTCTCAAGGTTAAGGTTGCTGAATACCTAAATATACCTTTATTTTGACTAATATATTGTCTTTGCAGTGGAGAATGGCCTAAGCAATTAACTTATAAACCATATACTTGTAACCATTAATTCACTGTCATGGATATATGAAGATATCTTTGTGTGGAAAACAAAACAGCTTGACAACTTTTCCGTGTAACAGCTTTTTTTCCAAGTAAACCAATTATAGAGAAAATAATTGTGCTGTGAAATTATTTTAGAATGGCCGTCCCTTGGTGATATGCAGAAACTAAGTTTTTTCTTGGTGTTAAAAAAGTAAGGTTTTTTTTCACTCTCTGCAATACACATGTAAACAAGCTGCTAATAAACTGCAAATTATTCACAGACAGTATAAGGCAATAGGAGAGTGGCTCAATAGGGAATCAAGTCCCTTTGAACAATTAATCACTCTCATTTTTCTGATTGAGGTGTAAATGTTCAATCTAATTAAATGATGAAAAAATACTTTTGGCAACTATTCCTGATGACCTATACATTGAAATCTATAAATTTGAATATCTAAATCGAACCCATACAAATCTAAAATTGTATTCAGAGTTACTTGCTTTCCAATGGGCTATATGCATGGTCATGCACGTATAAATTCCGCATTTGACACAATTTGTTCTACAGTTTCCGGTTGGGGAGATTAAAGCGGAGGAAAACCCGAAGAAAACGGGATTATGGCAGATCTTCAAAATTTACTGTCCTCCCGTCTTTGAAACGAAACTTTCATACGTTTAGATGTAATTTTATATAGTTATGTTTATTTAATATAATTTGAAATAGAAGCATAGCCTATACACAACGAGGGGTGTCTGTTTTATCTGTTTTTGTGACTAAAGTTTCTTTAGTATAACCATGGAGTATAAAATTAAATTCTCGGTATGGGCTCTATGCACGGCGGTATTTCCGGTGAAGGTGTAAGGATGCTCGTGCATTGGACTCTACGATCGGCGGAAGTTATCGAGCATCCTCAAACCTTCACCGGAAATACCGCCGTGCATAGAGCCCATTTGCGCTGTATGAACACATGAACATAGTTACGCCAGAAGGTGGCAGCAAATGACTGCGTTTTTGAGTGAATCATTATCCATTCTTTGGGTTGAAAAGGTAGGCAATAGTCTCGGCATTATTTTGTCCTCAGACTGCAACTCCTAGCGCTTTGGAAAAGTGTTTACTTTCGGTCTTGGCGGCCATTTTTAGGAAATAGGCCTAATGCTGCATCCCAATTCGCCTAATTATACGACGCCCTAAAAGTATGTAAAAAGTACATACTTTCGAGTGTGTCCAGTTAAAATCCTCCATTCAATCTAATATAATTTCTTACCATTTCGGAGAGAAATGTTGTAGCATGTTCATCTGTCAGTTATGGTTCTTTCCTGCCGAGCTTCTCCTCATGACATGTGTTTGGAATTTAAATATATTAATGGATTTAAAAGTTAATGGCTAAACGTATCTTTGCCAAAGTTCACAATGTTTCTGCTGCAGATTCAATGTGGACAACATTGAATAAATACATTTTTGTGCAGGTTAGATACTAATCGCTCAAACCCCTTTAACCTTGGCCAGGTGGTATTTTAGCTGATATATAGGCTATTTATTTATTAGCATAGGGAGCATGACGCTTTAGATTCTAGAGAAGATGTGATGAGAAGCAGAAGTTACGTCATTAAAATCCATGATCCATTTTAGCCGAAGTGAGAGACTGTTTTGAATGTTTATATCTCCTAAATGCAAATTTTGTCGTTGGTTTGGAACACACCTGCTTAATAATAACCTTAAGCATAACATATTCATACTAAAAGCTAAAATAAATAATTTTGATTTCAGGGGGCATTTAAAAACGACCAAATGCGTTTCTTGTTGAAATCCAATTGCGTTTTTTACGCATCTGTGTCCAATTGAGAAGATATAACATATACTGTATACAGTTTTTACTTAGTATTAAACATAGTACTACGTACATAATTCATAGTGTGCTGACTGCATGTGTAGGCCTAAGTATATAATCATTTGGGATGTAACTTTATATTGTTCATCCAGGCATATCTAATAATAAAACCACCACATGTAAGGTATGGTCAAATTAGAGATTCTTGGGCAAAATTTCACTGGCTAAGTTGTCGACAATGCAGTGATGCATGACACCATACTCAGTGATCGCTTCCAAACCAAACAGCCTTATATTAGTAAGCCTGGCGACTTTGTATGTTAGAAGATCAAAAAACTTGAATACAATGTGTAGTCAGTACGGGGTAATATTCGTATTAGGTGTACCTATACAAAGGTAAAGGTGAATGGCTGTGGCTTTATTGTGTTTCTACGAGTTCAGTTTGAAACTATGATATAAAAAAGTCAAGACTCCAGTAGTGCTAAACTAGTATTAATGAGACGTTCTTCTACATCACATCTCTTCTGATTCCTCAAGCATACATTGTTCTTCTTTATCAAAAATGACCTAGATATGTCTGGACGTGTTAAAATGGAAAAGATAATTAGGATAATCTTTAATATGTCATGTGATTTGCTCATATTGATTTTGCTTTGTTCTGATTTCAGATTAAAAGCAGAAGATAAAAAGCTCTAATATTACGGCAGAAAATGCATTGTGGAATTCCATTAATTAGTAATATCATTATTCATGGTCCTCTTTATTAAATAAATATGAGCATGCGTGTTGGTAGGTCTACTGGTAAGGGAGCTGAGCGGATTTCTGCAGATGTCAAGGGTTCAGTCGATGGAGTGAAACTCAGAGGCCAAAATACATTAGAAAGCAATCTGCCTTGACATGGAATGTTAGTGGCCCTGCCATGAATTGTGACGCATGTCATGGACATTGTTGCTCACTGAGTGAGTGTGTGATATTTCTTTGTTATGACAATACCATTCCAGCATGTCCAAAAGCATGAGCTGTGGAGAGGTCTTTTACACAGCCCAAGTTACTATATTGAATAGTATGAATAAATCCAAGCTAGCAAATTGGAACATGGCATTAATTTGACAGGGCATTTATGCAGTTACTAAGGTGTTCGGAGCGGCTTTGTTTCTATGTGGTTTTGATAGGGTATTCTGGTTGCTAGGGCATTGCTAGTGGTTTCTAGGGTGTTTTGAAGAAAATGAAAGGAGATATAATGAATGTGTAATTTGTACACATTTAAAACTTCTTAAAATCTACTAAAATTAAACTAAAATTGCAGTTGAGTGTTTTACCTGGAACTTA